GTAAAAAGTATTATCCTATCGTATACCATGAGTGTGATAAATAAAACAGATTCCTGATACCCCATAGCTGGTTGATTGCAAAATTTCTGCTTCTGCTTCATGTGTACGTTTTCGCAATCAAATGGCTACGATAAAATTTTATACCAGACGTAGACTGCAAAGCGAAAATTTATGTTTCTGTTTTTAAATTTATTCAAATTGTACCATAGTTATTTCCCTGTATATGCCACTTACATTTATAAGAGAATAGAGACACAAACGAAAACTTCTAAAATTGAAATCCTTTTTAATTAAGTTTGAAGTTCATCGAATAATAAAAACTTTTTAATTTTACACGTAGGTGACAACTTAGGTGTTATTTTTATTTAAAAGGAGAAGCGGAATTTTTGCAAGGATTTTCATATTGTTGCGAAATGCCCAGCGGCGGTGAAATAGCTTCTCCACAAAGCGAGGTTGCCAAAAAGTGACAGGGAAAGACAGGATTGTCAGATCTGGCACGAAATCGCCGATTATCTTAGTTTTTCGACGACTGTAAACGTGTCTTTGAAACAGCCCTGTGTAATAGTGCTTACTCGTAAATAAATTAAGTTTTGATTTTTCATCAAGTGTTATCATCATATATTCCAAATCCACAAACCCATAGAACACAGCAATATGCTTAATTATTTTATTTTAGTAGTATATTTTACTTTTCAGACGTTAGAAATGAGGATTTGCAGGTTGTAGTATGTTTTTAAAGGTGTTACTATGTGCATGTTTTCATTTAAGGTGATGAGTACATACGTACCATCGTAGACTGCTCTTAAAATAGACAGGATTTTTATTAAGAATCATTAAAACGGAATTTTGCAAAATTTTAAATTTAGTTTTAAATAATGACAATTTTCCTGGAGTCTATCTCTATGATAATAATTTAGATTTCATGCATACTTATTTTCACATTAAATAAAATGTGCAATGAATTTTAAACATATTAAATTTCGTGCAGAGAAAGTAACAGGCGCGAAACCACTGATGATTATTTTCCTAAAATTATTCATGCATTATTTTCTTTAAAATTAGAAATAAAAATAAGAGATTTATGTAAAATAGCCCTTTTATATATAAATTAGTCTATAACAGAAAGAAAAATTCGAAAATTTGAAAATTCTCGGTTATTAAGCTCGATTCAGATTATTTTGATTTTTAAGCGAGTAAAAGTAGCTAAGTCAAGAATAAACATTCCCTTTTCTGTGCTAATTATTCATCAAAATCCAGCGAATTCTTAAAAATGGGCACAAAATTTTTATTTTCGGAATCAATTAATTAAAAATGACGCAGAAAGTTACAACTTCGAGCATTCTAAATGAATTTTTAAACTGCGATAAGTAGACTATTTATCAAATCTTTTTTTGTGATTTGAGCATCTAATAATTACAGGCAGCTTTTAAGCTTAAATTTTCCAATTTCAGTGCAGTAAGATAGCTCGAATCATTTTTCTGTTTTTCCATGTTTGGTTGCTGACTATGAAAAGAATTTTAGAGTTAAAATTTTCTCCTTCATATTCCTGTATCAGCAGTGCAATAATTTCGAGATAACTTTTTTCTTCTTTGAATAATGCCTCAACAATGCTTGATAACTATCCTTAAAGTATCTGCCCTCAAAATGAATTTCTGTAAAGTTATTTACATTTTTTAAACAAAAACGTTTTGAAATTCCGCATTGTTATACTTAAACAAGTACTTTAGATATATTATTAAAGAATGTTGACTGCAAATTTGGGTTATTTTGTCAAAACTTAATAGAAAAATTACTGAATGTACCAAAATTAAAGAATCTAGATTATTTTCATCTTAGAAATAACATTGTTGTCTCGAAATATTAATTTCTTATTAATAATTTCTTAATTAATTTCTTAGTTCCTTTAACTTGCTTTAAAAGTGAATAAGAATATTGTCATCTCAAGACCATAACTGCTTGGAAATAGCCAAAAACTTCCTATTATGACATCATTTTATGCTATAAATTCATTTCATACTGATAAAATCAGAATAAAAGTGAAATTTGTAGAATTAGATAAATTATAATTGCAAATAAATAAATATAGAAAATGTGGATGTTTGCTTACTAATGTATATTGCCATTAATACAGATTAAAATATAGGCATGATAAATTTGTTACAAAGTATCTAAATAATCAATGCACCGGCTGATATGCCGTGCATTCCTTCAAACCATTAGATGTGCATCCTTCAAACCATTAGAAATCGAACCTACCTTTAGGGAAAACTCATTTGTGTTCTTCGTGTGCGTGTTCCGACGTTTGTGTCTATGATTGCGAAGTTCTTCTTCAACTCTGACAGTTTCAAGTTTCAGGAACTGTTCGTTAGCCCTTAGAAATTCTGCGAGTCTTCTCTAGCCTGTATGCTTAAAATACCGCCCGTCCGTGTCCATTACCCGTCCCGTCCGTTTCCTTCCCTCCTCGTCCATTAATGCACAAAGAGGGTGAAGATTTCAAGTAACATCCTTTCTGGTTTCTAACAAATAACCTTCCATTAGACTTTTAGTTGCCTGCAATAAACTGATACAATGCATTTGGGGAAACTGCACCTGCTATTGCATACCTTAAGGGGAGGGAAGAAAACAACATTGCAATTTCGGCCGTATCGGGAGGTTTTGGTCCTTTGGATGGCATAATGTCTCGGACGTTTTGGTCTTTAAAGGATTAATGAGGAATGTGTGCTAAAGTCGAATGTCTATCAACGGAAATTCAATTTTTTTTCGAATATAAATCCTTTCACATTAATGTTGGGAGATATAATGTTCTGAAACGTAATAACTTTAATGTGGTGACCCGTATATTTTTGTGATGTAAAAGTCAGCATGCTATCAACTGATAAAGGTTAGGAAGGCAGATAGTAAAGCAGGAAGCCTTATCCTGTAGCAAGCATGCGCACAAAACATCATGGCTTTTTTGTGCTAGCATGAAAGTCAGCATGATGTTCTGGCATTTCAAAGGCCCCAAATAGATCTCCGAGAGACAGCACTTATTGGTTCCATGGATTCCTCGCTTGAGATCTCTGTGATGTATTGTGATGAAGTCGCCTGGGTAGCTGTCCGAGGTTTTGCTTGGGATTCCTCTTCTAGGACACGGAAGTTTAAACCGTTTGGAGCTCTTTGTGACATTCCTTTGCGACATGAAGTCGCCTGGGTAGCTGTCCGAGGTTCTGCTTGGGATTCCTCTTGTAGGACACGGAAGTTTAAACCGTTTGGAGCTCTTTGTGACATTCCTTTTAGCATTTTAGACGGGAGAGACCTAAAAATCATTCTCCACTTGACCTCTAATTGTGTTAAAATTTCATTGATTGGCCTCTTCTAAGAACACAATCTTTTCCTTTAATATGGCTGCTGGGAAGTTTTTCCGAACAGACCGACAAGTTTTAACACGCCACATTATAATTGCTCCAATAGCTCGTTCACGAATGTCAAGGTATTTGACCTCACGAAAAGATCCTTCTGCACTTGATCAACATACTCCACTTTGACAAAACAAGTTCAGCATTGCATATATTGCAAACGGACTTTCCTAATGATCTCTCAAAGGAAACAAATAATTTTGAAACTATTTCTGTTAAGAAAATTTAAGGGTATAAGGTGTTATCAAATTACTCTTGATGCAAGGATCAAGTAGTTTACCAGAAAAATGATGATTAAACTAAGTTTTTAAAATTCATATGTTCTTTCGTGACTTTTCAAGGCTGTGGTACACGGACAGAAATCGAAGCAACTTGCTTCGGTGGGCTTCGGCAACAAATTATTCCGATTTTAAAAGCCGCAGGGTATAGTATGATCCAAGAATACTGCATCGTAGAATCATAGTTATATAAGAAAACTGATTTGTTTACGTTACACATAGGGAAAAACAAAACAAAAAAAATATAAAAGGATTCAGACTTTAACGTCGCACCATAAGTTTTGTTAATGTTTTTTATCCCTCGCTGAGGTCTCAGTTTACAATTCTGCTCTTATACTCACTCATGCGAAAACAACTTTTTTTTCTTTCTAACTTTATTATTAAAAATCGCGTTTTTACACACACTACATAAAATTCAACAAAAAAAACTGCAATATTTTTAAAACCAGCATGATGGACTTTAACAAATTTTGTTTTTTGTGTTGACATCCTTTTTCTTAGCCCAAAAGGAATATTAGTCTCGAATGGTATTTTGCGTTGAATCACTATAAACGGCGTATCATTTTTCAAATTGTTGCCACCAAATAGTATCGCCCTATATTATATTTAAAGAAATTAAATAAAGAAGAAGCTGCATGAGTGTGTGCAAGTTTCTCTCACTGTGAGAAAACAACGATTAAAGCCATAAAATTATGAATAATGTAGTACTTTTCATTATGGGCACCTGGAAACTCGAATTTTGAATTTCGGATTGGTTCTATTATCTATTTTATAGTTTATAAATCTTTAACGAATTTTTGATTAACAAACTCAACAATTTCAAAGCGAGCAGCGGCAACACTCTAGGGAAAAGCATTTTTATATCCAGTAGGCGAGACTGTCTACCGAAAATTCTAAATAGTATACGCTTTTTAAATACTTTGTAATTCTGCTGTTGAACTGCATATGGGGCTTTTGCATGCTGTGGCGCCAAAGTTACAAGGGCAGAATATTAATTATTTACCACTGAATTTAGATCAATTTATCACTGTTTTTCAGTACAATAGTTGCGAAGTTTGCGTAGTACTACGCGTTTAATTTAAGGCTCAATTATTACTTCTTTCAAAGTTCCATATGATAAAATATTATTTTGTAAAATTAAGGCGAATATCTTTTCTATAAATTTGAAACAAAATGCATAATTCAAAAAAATTATCTGCTTATTAGTTACATTTAAAAAAAAGTTCTTTATAATTTCTCTTTTCAATTGTTTTGTAGTGACATAATAATTGCTATATCTCTAAAGAGGAAATAACAAATCCATCTTTCAGTGATGAAATAATTTAAGAAATGACACGTACTGGGCGACTACTTTGTTCTCGAGGACTTCATCCCCTTCCAAGAAGACCTTGTATGCTACCGGTCACATTAATAACAGACTTGTTCCTTGCCTTCCCCCTGTCTGAAATTTCGCCATAGATTGCGCCAAAGGAGTTTCATTTTCCCGCCAGAAAATACGGAGGTTCGATTTTGAAAAAGGCTATCTGTGAAATCTTCCAGGGGTAATTGAAGATTATCTCAACACATTTTATTGAAAAAGGCAGTACGTTTACTTAATTTCTTCTGTTTATGGTAAATTTATGCATTTGCTTTCAATTTCTTTTTATTGATGTTCGCAATTGTTTTCGACCTAAGGTTGATAAAGAATAAATCTGTACACTGTTTTTCGTCAACAATTGTAGCTGTTTTCTGATAGTTGTAAATCTAGGTAGATGAATTTTGTTTTATGTAAGCTCATTTAATTTTTAAATACACACTTTATTGTGTCAATATATATGTTGATGTATGCTTATTGAGTATGTATGCTTGGGTCTTTTGATGTATGTTCAGTGATTATGAACCTAAATTGGTTAATTTAGATAAATTTCAGATGTTTAATATTTTAATTTAAGGATGTGTTTGATAAAATTTATGAATGAGGATTACATCTGCAAATTTTTTTGGATTTAAGTTGCATTTAGAACAGTAGTTACTTTATTTATAATCAAACTATTTTTTTTTATATATGAAAAATTGTCTTTAATTTTTTTATATAGAAGTATTAAAATTGTGAAATTGTACATTTTGGGATAAATTTTATCCATTAAAAATATATATCTGATTTTGAATTCATTGGCCCTCTAAAAGAATTAAGTGTACAAATAATTTACTATTAGATTTAAAGTCCATGCACTATATATATTAAAATATATTTTTTATCTTTGTTGCTTTTTTTTTATTACTTTAATGGGCACGTTATGAAAATAGTGTATAGGGAGATTAAATATGAAATACCTTATTAATATTTTTAGAAATTTTATGCATTACATCTATAGGTATCTTTAATTATTACTTATCTGCTCCTATCAGTTATTTACATACTTCCTTTTTCACCCTTTATATTTTAGGTCTGAACAACTATATGCAAGTTTTATGTAAAAACAGAATCGGATCTAGAAAAGCATTTAAGAAGTACTCTCGTTTTGTAAAACAGTTCATATATCCTTGACCTCAGCTGGAACAACTGAAGTATGACTTTCAAGAGATTAATAAAATGTGCCTCTGATCTCAATACCTCACCAAGTGACTGCTCTCTTCAGCATATATACAAGACTATTCTTCAGAACGCGTTGCCAGTTTTCATTTGTCATGATAATTAGTATCTAATTATATTATTGTATATATTACATCATCTGTAATATTTCATTAATAAATTATTCCAAAAGTGAATATTTGAACTGCTTAATTCATATATGCACCTCATTTAATATACTGTAAAATTTTCTCTGTGTTCACAGTACTTTCAGAAACTTAGACAAATATTATAAATTTAATTTTATCAGTACCCTAGAAATATTGAAAAACTGAATATATGAAATGTGCATGAGATTCTAGTCTTGATTTCTTCATTTAATACCATACATAACTTATCACAAAAGCTTAATATGTAGTATTAATAAAAAATATGTACAGTATTTTTATCACTTAAGACTATTCTGTAGCTTATTGAATCAACTGCTTGGACTAGTAATTTATTTTGATGGCTTCTTGCAGTAGTTTGAGGTGAAAAAGTTTACTTTACTATTTATCACAATTATTGCTATTTTCCTCAAAAAAATAATTCATTTTCAAGTAAGATAAGGCTGTACCTTATTCATACAGGTTGAAGCAAGACTGGCACCTTTGCATTCAAGTAGGTATTATGGGGCCTTGCTGATTGCTAAACTCCACTCTAAATGGAATTCCGATGGTCTCCTGCCCCTCATCCCCTACCACCAACTTCTTGAGATGATTTTAGCTTGCTTTGTGTGTTTAGTGATCCCTTACCACACAGACACTATGCTTACAATCATCCATGCCTTCTCCAGGATTCGAACCTGGGCCCTTTGGTAACGGCAGTCAGCATCACTAACTACTAGCCTGTTTTGGTCAGCACCTTATTGACACAAGTACAGGTTGAAGCAAGGCTGGCATTCAAGTAATCATATTAAGTATTGCTGAGCCTTGCCAACTGTCAAGTTTCCATCCCGAATTAAGTTCTGAAGGAAATCATCCCAGGTTGCAGTACGAGCCAGCCTCTCAAGACCAGTTCACCATGTACTTTGAGTGCATCCTTGCTATGTAGGGGCACTCAAGATGAATACAAACATTCATGCCTTTTCAGGGATTTGAAATTGGGCCCTTTGGTACGACAATCAGCATCATTAACCACTATCGCATCTGGGCAGCATGTTATTGACACAGTGAGATAACCATCTACCTGAATGATGGTTTATTATATTGTTGGATTGGTCAACATTACTTAGCACTATTTAAAGATCGCCACAGAGTTCTCCCAGCATAATGCCCAATGATTTTTTTTTTCTTTTGTGAATTATGTAAAAGATAATGTTTATATTCCCTACTGTCAGTTATAACTGCTGTAGTTACCATCAGCTAAGAAATATTACAGTATGTGTGAGCTGAGTCAGAGTATTGCTTGAATATGTATCATGAAATAAGAGGAATGCACATAAAGCATTTAAAATCTCATCACTAATATTTGAAAGACATTTACTTCACTGCAAACGTTCTATGAATTATAGAATTTAGAAACCAAATAAATCATGTAAAATAAGGCTGTATTACACACAAATAACTTCTATTTTATTTATTTTTTACAGATATAATTTATTGACTATCTTATAAACATTGTCTTGAATTTGATGTTAAATAAAAATACAGAGGGTATTGACATATTTTTAAGATTATTTTTGAACCATTTTATTAACGTTTGAAATGTAAATATATATATTATCGAAATGTACAATCTGATCATCACCTTTCTTTGTGGACTTTATGCTTTCCGTAACAGAAGGAATTTTTGCAAAACAATTTAATATTATTGCTTTCTATTTCTCCTTAATTACTTTTCAATCAGCTGTAACCCATTAATATGAATATTTGTATTTAATACATGGTAAAATTAGATTTACTTATATTATGGAAGCCTTTTTTTTTTTTTTTTTTGTATGATTTATCACCACCAGATATTTTAATTCATATTCCTAATTTATATATATTCAGGGTTGCAAAAGCATTTTCTTGAGTAAGTAGGATCACCAAGTTCAGAGATCTTGTCTTAGAGTATAAAAAATGTAATAATTTTTTACATTTTATTTGCCTAAAATTTTCCAGAACGTAAATATTTAAAACAAGAGCGTGAAGTATGACTTCAGTTTTTGTGAAAACCATATGCTATCCAGACTAGAGGGTATTTCCTCATTCTTATTTATTATATGTACATAATATGTGTGTATCTTCTGTACATTTACACCAAAATTAGTAAATTCATTGTTATGGAAATCTCATTAGTGCATGTAATGTCTAAGTAAGCACTTACTAGATTCATATTTACTAATGCGATGGTATACCATTTAAGTCACCAAATTTTAAAAAATCTGATTTGGATACCACATGACTTCTTTCTATGGCGTATTAAATTATGTACTTTTTTTGCTGCAACAATAAACTGATGCTAAATATTGTTAGATATTTACAACAATAAACTGATATTAAATATTATTGGATATTTACAACAGTAAACTGACATTAAATATTGTTAGACTAACTACATAGACATTATTAAGATTTCGTTAGTTGACAAAGATTAATTTTTTTAAATTTAATACTGCTAAGACATAATAAATTTTATTTAAAACACTTCTGTGGTTAGAAGTACATGACTACGACCAATGATTGCAAAAAATAAAGGCTGGGGAAGTACTTTCAAGCCAGGTAAACAGGCATGTGTATATACATATATACACACATATTCAGTTTTGCTCATTGCAATAGAAGCAAGGAACACAACTGTATGTATAGCAGTCCTATATACAGTCAAATGTCGTTAATCCGGACTCGTTGGGACTTCGGCAATTCTGGATTATAGATCATCAGTTTAAATCTGGTAAGATGGCATGCAGAAATTATAAAATTAAAAATATTAAACCATAATTTATGAAATAAAGAACAATTATGATCTAAAGGGTATCAAAATTTACAAAAAAAAAAAAAAAAAAGCTTAATATTTATTTGTTTACTTTATTAAACATTTCTTTCAATGTAAGTTGTTTAAGTTGCTTCGTTTTATGTGATAATACTTTCTCTTTAATTCTATAAACAGACATAATTTCTTCTTCAGTTGCAAAGTTCCGCTGTTAAAGTCCATAATTGCTGTGTCGAGAATACCGACTAATTTGTCAATCGAAATTTTTTCGTTTTCAATAACCTCTGTATCACTTTCTTCTTTATCGGAAGCGAATTATAATGACGAGGAATTTGATTTATATCATATCAAAGACGGAGTACATCGAGATGAAATACTGCATTTAGTAAGGAATTATAAGCCAAATAAAATAAAAACATCTGCCCTGAAGATAAAGATAGTGCTGTCAGATCAACTTCCAATTCATTGCATGCCGCGGCGTTAAAGATAAACAAATGTTAAAGTTTAGATAAACAAAGGATATGCCTATATCCATTTTTTTGTAGCAATTCCACTTTTTGTTTAATGAACTTCGAAACATACTTTGCTTTGTAGATCCTTTATATATTAGTAAATATATATCGGAAATTCTATTTGACGTAATCGAAAGTTCAAGCTTACTTTTATAAAATTGCTCTAACAGTCTGCAAAAAATAATAAGGCGGATCCAATTCGAAGATTCAGGAACAATGCAATCTGCAACATTAACTGAATTAGATAATTTTAGCTTAGCTTATACCATCCGTTATACATTCAATGGGCAAGCGTAAACGTATTGCGCGCATGCGCACACGCATATTTGCAGCCGTAAAAGTCTTACGCGCATGCATGAACGCGACGCTTGGGCAGAAAGTTTGTAGCTTTGAGGTCCGAATTAACGACTTTTGACTGTACAAAATTTTAATGTCCTGTGGCTAATCAGTTTTGAGTTCTGTAAGATACATACTATGTACGTGCAGACATCATGAAAACTTCTCCTTCAATATGCCATTTTACATTCTGCTTTGGGAAAAAAGAGGAAATATATAATAATAATTTCTAAAGCAGCCTATGAGGTAAAATAATATCTGATGTCATATGTTAACTGAAGAAATCCTGTAACTGCAACAGGTCTCTGCCCATACTAGAACTGAAGATTCAAAGAAAATTCAACGACAGAAAAACCACAGGCTTCTGAATTTAATGCCAGAGGTCATTCAGTAATTATAGGATTAAGAATCAATCACACATAATTCAGGAATGAAAATCAATCCAGAAGGCACAAATTTTAATGCTAGGAATTGCCCAAACTGAATTCAGTCCTTATCTAAGTGTGCCATGCATCATTGATATTGCCTCAGAACATTCATAGATATCCCATAGAAAAATGTACTTTTTGGATATAATTAAAAATATATAAGCATTAGTTAGTATTGTCATATGAGCATTATAGACTGGTTTCATTCTTTGATGGATACAACATCCAAACCTGTAAATTTTTTAATTTATTATACATTCTTCATATTATACTGAGATAAGTGTAATAATTTGAGCAATTATTTTAAGTTTTATTGTTAGCAATATTTCCTGATATAAATTTAAATGGTGGAATGGCTAAAGTTTTGAAATATTGGTTTAGCATTAATTATATTTTGGCAAAAAAATGGGCTGGCTCAACTTTGTCCTTTTTACATTCTGCCTAAAAAGTCTTCCACAAATGCCTTTATTCTCAATAGAAATATTAAAGCGCTTTACCATATTCCAATCTAATCTCATCTTACATAAAATAATTACCAAAAGATTATTACAGTGGTGTAGCTAGGGTGGGGCAAGGAGGTGCATCTGTCCCTGGGTGTAGCATCCAGGGGCGCCAAACTGATGTTACGAAATTTTAGAATGAAATGTTTTTCATTCTTGGCACACAGAAAGGGGTGCAAGATCTTTAGCTGTCCCTTGGTGCTGAAAAACCTAGCTACGCCTCTGGGTATTATAAAAATGGTTTATGAAGAGATATTGTGCAAAACCTTTAGCAATTTAAAATGAATTCTAATATTAAAAATGTTTTAAAATAATATTTATTAGTTAGACTAGGGTTTCTCATTTGAGTTGATGAATTTTTAAAGGGGCTCTATGATGGTCAATGATTCAATATCCAAATATGCAATGACAATTGATCAGCACAATCAAAATCCCACTGACTGTAAAAAAAAAAGTATTAATAAAA